CACCGGCAAGACCATCGACTTTGGCGTCGCTTCCGTGGGCATTGGCGCGCACTCCCGCACTCAACGTCTGGGCCCTGCGGACCATGACCTCGTGGCCTATGACATCCCGCTCACGGGCACTCGCCGTGGTTGGCGCTGGCAGCCGCGCCGCTTGCTGGATGGCGAGAAAAAGTTTGACTGGCGGGCCACGTGGACGGAGGTGGAGGACGACTTTGCCGCGTTCTTGCAGGAGGGCAACACCGAGGCAGCATGGCGACTTCTGTCGGGCAAGGCCGAGGACGCCTTGGCCTTGGACAGCTCGACCGCGGGGCGAGCCTAGCCGGCCTGTGCTCACTGAGGGCCACGCTGCCAAACCTCCCACCGTGCAGACGCTCCGCGAGCGCAAGCTGCGCAGAGCTGCTAGGCGGCTTGCCGCCGTGCTGCAAAAGGAGCGTGCTGGGCTCATGGACGTCGACTATGAGAAGGGCAAGCTCGCTGGCTACCTCCGGCACATCGCGGACGCGTACCTGGACCTTGGCGACCTCCTGCAATACCAGGGCGAGGAGCAGCTGGCCTACTTGCAGCACGCGGCTGAGGCGGAGGAAACTAGGGCCAATCAGGCCCGCTTGGAAGGCTGGAAAGAGAAAGTCAAGACTGACCTCCCGAGACTGTCGCGTTGGGTCAAGGCATCCTTGGCTGAGCGCCCGACGCCAATGGCAGACTTTGCGGTCGACCCTGACCCGCAGGCCAAGGCTGAGCAGGCGGCAAAGGTTTGGGGCCAACTTTGGCATCGTGATGGGCGACCTCACGGACTTCGGCTTCGTGACCTCCTTGCTCGCCTTCACCTCCCTCGAGCCGCTGCTCCCGAAGTTCAAGTCTCTGGCGAAGTGCTACACCGCCGGGCCAAGGCATCGGCTCGCAAGGCAGCTGGAAGTGATGATTGGTCTGGCAGGCTGTGGCGGGGGCTTCCATTGGAGTTCTTTGATTCCTTGGCGGCCATCTGGAACCTGGTCCTGAAGGGTGCTTCTATCCCGGCCGCCTGGCTCCAAGTCCGCATTTGTTTGATCCCTAAGGAGGAGGGTGGGCAGCGACTTTGGCCATTGCTGCACTTGCTTGGAGGTTGGGCGCTACTGCGGTGGTGCAACAGTTGGCGGGCTGGATCACGGCCGTCTTCCCTCCGGACTTGTATGGCGGCCTTCCCGGTCGCTGCGCTGAAGACATCCACTTCCGGCTCACGCACGCGCTGTTCGTCCAACGGGCCGGCGGGCCCCTTGCGGGCTGCAAGGCTGACGTCAAGAAGTGCTTCGACACCGCGGACCCCAAGCTGGCCATCCTGTGCCTCCGCGCATTGGGCGCCCCGGAGCCTATGCTGGACGTCATTGACCGGTTCT